AGGGTGGCTGCGCGGCGCGGGAGCGCGCACGGCGGGTGTGGGGCGGCGCGCGGCCCCGCCCCCGCTGAGGCGACCCCGCCCGCTGGGACTGGAGGGCGGGGGGCGGCGCGCGGCCCCCCCGCGCGGACTCGCGGCGGGCGGGGCGGGGGGTACCGTGGAAGATGAAGCTGCTCCAGTTGCTCGGGTCCATGGCGGCGGCGGGCGGGGGCCGGGGAGGGCGGGGGAGCGAGCGGGGAGCAGGAGCAGCGCCGCGCGGGCGGGGGGAGTGAGGTGGGAGGGGGGTGAGCGAGGAGGCAGCGGCGCGAGGACACCTCGGCGTCGACGCTGATTGGCTCCTTCAGCGCGCGCGCTTGCGGCGCGCGACAGGCTCCCTGAGAGGGGGGTGTTAGTGATTGGCCGAGGCTGGAGTCCTTGGCGTGGGGTTCTTGCAGGGCTCCCATTGGTCGCTCGAGTGAGAATGAGAAGATGACCCCACGTGGGGTTGCTTCTGATTGGGTGAAATCCTCCGCCCTCAGCACGTAGTCGGCAAGTACGCACGATGACCGTTGGAGGAAAAAGGTGCTGATTGGCTGACGCCTCCGGGGCGCGCGCTCCCCTTAGTAACGGTCGTTTCCTTTTCCTCCCCCAGCCCGTTAGCTTGTAACTACCCCCTCCCCTTGTTAACAAAATGGCCGCCCGCAATGCCCTCTGACCCTGAGGCAGGGCGGAAGGTACCACACGAAGAACACGCTGGGGCAACAACCGCCTCCCCCGCTGAGATGGTCCTGCCCGCGCAGCCCGCACCGCACCGTCCCCAGGGCGCTCCCCCCTCCCGGCCCCCTTAAAGGGGCAGAATCTCTTAAAGGGGAGGGCCCTCCCCGCCGTGTTTGGCCGACACTTAATGGGCTTGCTGGGGTGGGGGCAGCCGGACGCCTGGGTTCCCCGCGCGCCGCGAAGGAGGAGGCGGAGTCGGGGTGACGGACACAGAGACCTTTATTGAGCGGGGGGTGGGGGCGAGAGACAGCCCAGGGCGCTCAGCAGGTTGGCCTGGGGGGAGAGCAGCGAGTTAGAGCGGCAGGACCCCTCCCCCCCAGTGTCCCCTTCACCCCCCACTGTTCCCCTGCCCCCCAGCTTCCTCCCCACACCCCTGCCCCCTTCACCCCCACTGTTCCCCTGCCCCCCAGCTTCCTCCCCACACCCCTGACCTCCCACTGTCTCCCTCCCCTGCCCCCCCAGCTTCCACCCCACACCTCACCACTCCCCTGCCCCCCACCTCCTCCCTCCCACCCCAGCTTGACACTGAGAGGCCCCCAGCAGTACTGCCCCCCCCCCACTCACTTTCAGGAAAGAGGCCACTTGTTTGGCTGTCATCCCCTCCACCTGCTGCAGGTCCTCCACCTGTGCGAGAGGGGCAGAGTGAGGGGCCCTGCATGCCAGCCCCCACCCCCCAGGTCCACGTCCCGACAGGAGGGGAGGGAGGTACCTGGCTGAAGGGCCCGTGCAGCTGTCTCCAGGCCAGGATGAGCCGGGCTTTCTTGTCCCCGATGCGGTGCAGGGCCCGCAGCTCCTTGGCACTGCCCTGGTTGAGCAGCGCCACCAGGTTCTCCCGGCTCCGGGCCAGCAGGTCCGGGCGCAGCTTCAGCTCCCAGCCTGGGGCCTGGTTCTCAGCCCCCGGCCCAGCCGCCTGGCCCTGCAAGGGAGACATGGGCTGGGGCAGTGACCTCCCACCAGCAGGGGGCCCCCCAGCCCAGCAATCCACCCCCCAGCCTCCCCCATTCACCCCACCCAGCCCATTTCCACCACTCATGCCCCCTCAGCACTCCACCCCCAAGCCATCCTGTGCCCAGCCCCTCACCTGGTTCCTCTGTATGACCAGGATCCCTTCGTCTCCACTGGGCAGGGCCTGCTTCCCGACGGGGGTCTGCACTGCAGAACAGGGGGCAGGCTTAGGGGGTTAGGAGCCAGGACTCGAGTTCCATCCTGGCTCTGGAAGGGGAGGGGGGTCTAGTGGTTAGAGCTTGGGGGCTGGGAGCCAGGACTCCTGATTCCTATCCCAGCTCTGGGGAGGGGAGGGGGGGCTGGTGGGTTAGAGCACAGGGGGGCTAGGAGCCAGAACTCCTGGGTTCCATCCTGGCTCTGGAAGGGAAGGGGGGGTCTAGTGGTTAGAGGCAGGGGGGGCTGGGAGCCAAGGCTCCTGGTTTCTATCCCAGCTCTGGGAGGGGGAGGGGGAGGGGGAGGGGGGGCGCAAAAAACGCTGAGAGCCAGGACTCCTGGGTTCTCTCTACAAGGGAGTGCTGTCTAGTGGTTAGATCAGGCCAGACTGGGGCCCTGAGTCCCCTTACCTTGCTGCAGGGGCAGCACCACAGCCTGTTTCCGGGCCCGGGGGGGAGCCTTGCTGTGGTGCAGGGGCTTGGGCTGACAGGCCTTGTCCAGCAGCGCTGCGGCTTCTAGCTCCTTCTGCCTCTCCTTCAGCTTCTGCAGGGGAGGCCACATCAGTGGGGAGGCACAAGGGGTTTGGGGCTCGGGGTTCCCCAGGAGCAGAGTGGGGCTCTAGAGTGCAGGGGAGCCAGGCAGGGCTCTGGGGGCCTCACCCACCTGCAGCTCGCTACGCGTCTCCTCCAGCTGGCGCAGCAGGGCCACCCGCTCCCGCCGGGGGGTGCTGAGCAGCGGCAGCCTCCGCCCGGCCCCGCCCTGCTGCTTCTCCAGCTGCTCCAGCCCCAGCAGCCGCTGCACCAGCCTTGGGTCCAGCTGCTCCAGGGGCAGCAGGGAGCTGGGGGGGGGGGAAAAAGAGGAGACCATTAGCCCAGCAACTCCCCACCACGCTCCCCTGCAGGGCTCTCAGCCCCTCACCTGAGCGGCTCGGCCTCGGGGGGCTCCTCCTCGGGGGGTCTCTTGGCCCTGGGGCTGGCACCCTCACTGCTGGCTCCAGGGTCCTCGGGAGGTCTCTTGCGTGCAGCTGTGGGAAGAGAAGGGTGAGGCCAGACTGGGGTCACCCCCCATTGATCCCTCAGCCCCATGGAGCCCAGCCCGGCCCTGCCTCACCTGGGGCCTGCAGCGTCTCCTGGGTGAAGGGCCGGTTAACCACCTGCTTGGACTTGGCAGCAAAGTTCAGCGTGCTCAGCGTGTCAAAATAAAAGCCTTGCTCCGGGGCGACATTCGCAATGATCACGCTGTGAGCTGAGCCCCCCAGGGAGTCCTGGGGAGAGAGAGAACCCAGGAGTCCTGCACCTGCCCCCGCTCTAACCACCAGCCCCCCTCCCCTCCCAGAGCAGAGAGAGAATCCAGGAGTCCTGTACCAGTCCCCCCATGCTGGCAGAGCTGGGCAGGGGACTGGCGCTGCCCCTTTCCCTGTATCTGGTTTTTGTCCCCCTCAGCTCTCTCTGCTCCAGGCCCCAGCCTCTGACATCCTGGCTCCGTTGCAGGAGAACAGCAGGTGGGAGTAGAGCCCGGTCTGCACCCCCACCCCAGGATAGGACCCCAGCGTCCATTCCTCTGGCCCCGCCCCCGGGGAGGACCCTACGCACCTGCAGCAGGCGGGTGAGCTTGCTGTCACGGTATGGCACGCGGGGCAGCCCCTGGTTGAGGGCGTCCACCACCTTGCTGAGCACGTGCAGGGAGGCATTGATGGCGCCGCTCTCTTTGAGCCGCAGGCCACAGTTGCCGGTGCGCCGGTTGTCCTCAGAGCCAGCCAGGTCGATGAGGCAGAGCTTGGCTACCCGGCGGCGGCGGGGGGGCGCCCGCTGGGTCCGCGCCACCCGCACCAGCAGCACGGCGTGGCTGCGGCTTGAGCGGTCGTTGAGCTGAGTGGAGGCTACCGTGCGGTTGCGGCTGGCCGGCAGGAAGTGCCGCTCAAAGTCCCCGAAGCCTCCCAGCTCCCGCTCAGTCAGCCCCGGGATCAGGATGTTCCGGTCCCGGTCCTCCCGGATTGGCAGCCCTGCTGGGACGGCTCCAGCAGGTCCAGCACCTGGCGTTGGGGGGAAGATCAGGGGAAGGATCCCGCTGCCCCCCGCCCCTATCCCGGACCGCCCGGGGCTCCCCCTGCCCCATCATCTCACCAGCCCCAGCCAGTGCACATCTCCACCCCCCCACCTGTCCCCTGGTGTCTCAGTTTCTCTCCCCCCATCTCCATCCTAGACAAAGAGGGGATCCCCCATCAGCCCATCCCAGTTCAGCAAGATCCTACTGTGACGAAGTGGGAATGTTCTTAATGTTTTCTCTGAATACTGTGTGAGTGCCTCAGTTTCCCCATTGCATTTCTTAGGTATCTAGGTGGGGGGGATCAGGGGGTGTGATTGTTGCAGAGCCCAAGAAGGCCCCTGTGATCCTGTCTGCACAGAGAATGGCCGACACTCTGTCTCCTGGCAACTAATGGCCTGGGCCCCCCTCCTCTACAAGGAGAACAAAGATCAGGTGACCTCCTGGCCCGGGAAAGAGACAAAGGCCAGAGGAGGGGCTGGAGAGTCTCAGTTTGGAGCTGGCTGGGAAAATGGAGGGGAGCCCAGATAGGGCTCTGGCCTCCCTGGGCCCCCTCCTCAAGATGGGCCTAACTGAGGGGGTCCTGTTGTCTGTACCTGCAAGACCTGTCTTGGACTGTGTTCCTGTCGTCTAAATAAACCTTCTGTGTTACTGGCTGGCTGAGAGTCATGGTGAATCGCAGGAAGCCGGAGGTGCAGGGCCTTGTCTCCCCCACACTCCGTGACACCTACCAGTGCATCTCCCTCCTGGTTCACCCCCAAATACACCTGCCAGCCCCACCCGGACTAGTGGGTGGGAAAAAGTAGGAATTACATAAGAACGGCCATACTGGGTCAGACCAAAGGTCCATCTAGCCCAGTATCCTGTCTACCAACAGTGGCCAATGCCAGGTGCCCCAGAGGGAGTGAACTTAACAGGCAAAGATCAAGTGATCTCTCTCCTGCCATCCATCTCCACCCTCTGACAAACAGAGGGTAGGGACACCATTCCTTACCCATCTTGGCTAATAGCCGTTAATGGACTTAACCACCATGAATTTATCCAGTTCTCTTTTAAACGCTGTTATAATCCTAGCCTTCACAACCTCCTCAGGCAAGGAGTTCCACAAGTTGACTGTGCACTGTGTGAAGAACTTCCTTTTTTTGTTTTAAACCTGCTGCCTATTAATTTCATTTGGTGACCCCTAGTTCTTGTATTATGGGAATAAGTAAATAACTTTTCCTTATCCACTTTCTCCACATCACTCATGATTTTATAGACCTCTATCATATCCCCCCTTAGTCTCCTCTTTTCCAAGCTGAAGAGTCCTAGCCTCTTTAATCTCTCCTCATATGGGGCCCGTTCCAAACCCCTCATCATTTTAGTTGCCCTTCTCTGAACCTTTTCTAATGCCAGTATATCTTTTTTGAGATGAGGAGACCACATCCGTATGCAGTATTCAAGATGTGGGCGTACCATCGATTTATCCCTTTTTAATGATTCCTAACATCCTGTTTGCTTTTTTGACCACCTCTGCACACTGCGTGGACATTTTCAGAGAACTATCCACGATGACTCCCAAGATCTTTTTCCTGACTTGTTGTAGCTAAATTAGCTCCCATCATATTGTATGTATAGTTGGGGTTATTTTTTCCAATGTGCATTACTTTACATTTATCCACATTAAATTTTATTTGCCATTTTGTTGCCCAATCACTTAGTTTTGTGAGATCTTTTTGAAATTTGTCACAGTCTGCTTTGGTCTTAACTATCTTGAGTAGCTTAGTATCATCTAACAAATTTATTAGAGCATAAGCTTTCGTGGACTACAGCCCACTTCTTCGGATGCATCTAATAAATTAGAGTTTATGCTCTAATAAATTTGTTAGTCTCTAAGGTGCCACAAGTACTCCTGTTCTTCTTTTTGCGGATACAGACTAACACGGCTGCTACTCTGAAACCTGTCATTAGTATCATCTGCAAACTTTGCCACCTCACTGTTTACCCCTTTCTCCAGATCATTTATGAATAAGTTGA